AGTGGTCATATACTGAGAGGACCTTAACAAAAACTACTATAGTGGTCATACAGTAAAAAGACCTTCATGAAAGCCACTAAGTGGCCATATAGTGAGAACATATTCAGAAGAGCCACCATAGTGAACCACCACCCATTCAGTACTTTTATCATTAAATCCAAAGCAAGTCTAACATTGTTTTATTTTAATACGACAGTGATTTCTCAGCTGTAAAAAGTCATACATCGAAACGAAAAATCCGCAAACTTTCGCATCGACATTTGTGAAACGTAATTAAGAGAATCAGCTACCAGGTGTTGCGCCGTTAATCGGACAACAGCCTCTAAAGTTCGCGAGCTTCCGATCGTCGTGGCTAACCGAAACGTTGCAAAGAACAGTCTCGGCGTATCGTTTTCGAAAGTCGGTCGAGGCTGTTGCGACAAGGGCCCGGTCGTTGAGAAACGACGCAAACGAAGAAGGGGTATTTCGTGCGCGTAACGGAGACGAACCAGCAACGAACCGTTTTGATATTCTTGGTCAGCTTCTCACGTTGGTCAACGTCGCTTCTCACGTTGGTTCATCTACCGTGGCGATCGATTTAACCGGACGATCACCGTGTGATTCCGCGTTTTTTCCATCGGGAGATAATCTGACGGACATCCCTGGTATTTCCCCGGTTTAGTTTCATCCCGGTCGGTTTCCCGCGCGTTCGATAAACGATCGGACTCCGTTTCGGATCAACGTCCTACCGCGGCGAAGGTATTTGCCGAAGCCGCTCGGGCAGCGGAGGAGCAAAAGGGACGGAAAATGGAAAACGAAAGAGAAGAGAAAAGGTAGCGGAGCGACGCGTTTACGGGCCCGATAGGCGGATGGAGGAACGGATAGAGGAGGGATAAGTAACCCGGAACGAAACGCGTTTCAGCACGGTGCGTATACGAGCAGGGAGAGAAGCTTTTTCCCGCGGGGTAGGGTGGAACGTTGCGCAGGTCAGGCCAGGTCAAGGCACTCTAGCGGCGAACGAAATACAGGGTGGCCTCGAAATCGCGATAGAATCGAGATTCCTCGATAGTAAAAGGAAATCAATGCCGCGTCGTTGCGAAACGAGGCAGAAGCAACCTTGAAACTCCTTCGTACAAGTGTATCGACGCGGATTCGGTAAGAATCGAGCGGAACGCCACCGGGTAGGTCCGGGCCGTTCGAGCGTGGAACAGGTGCACGGCACCTGACCGGACCTTTTAAATTTTAAAGGGCCCTCGTAACATTTAATGACCGAAGATACCGAAATTTTCCTAGAGAAGGTTAGGTTGCATCGAAAGAAAATACGGGCGATCACGTGGCGGGACACGCGTCGACGAACTCTCGAGTCGAGC